TGTTTGGATGCTGAAACTGGAGTGGATGCTTGAACCGGAGTGGACGATGGGACTTCTTCGGAGGCTGGGATTAGTTCAACAGCTGGCATTTGTTCAAAAGATGGACTTGGTGTGAAGGCCGGGATTTGTTCAAAGGATGGACTTGGTGTGAAGGCTGGGATTTGTTCGGATATTGGAATATGTCTGGACACTGGGAACTGGGGGAATAATTTTTTGGGATCTTTCACAAAAACTATTGATCCTGTGACTATCATGAATAATAGAAACATTCCTCTTTTACACATTTTTGCATATGTTCTATCCTTGTTGTTAAATAAATTAGTTCTCTCCTGCTTACTCACAAGGTCTTCTTAGTGCGTTAGTCTTCACTAGACCCTTTGCTTGGTAGCGTCTTCCAACAGCGGATGCTTCCTTCCTCTGTGTTCTCGAAATCCTCCAATTCACGCAGTAACGAACAGACTGACTGACTGACTGACTGACACAAACTCATGAATCAGAGTCAGTTCTACTTAAATTATCTCGGCACGGACAGGTATAAAACACCGTTCTCCTGTTACAATGCAACTGTTGCCGTGGAAATATGCTTGTTTAGGAAGCCGTTACGTATAAACGGCTGGTGTAGTTACTTTATCGCTTGTTGCCTGGCAATGTATTCCGAAATGTGCAGTTTTCATTGTCATTTTACTTCCCTTTGCCATTCAATGGTGCAAACAATTCGGCAAAACAGATTTTAACCTTCGCTGCATCAGTAAAATTAAATAGTCACTTCTCTGTTTAACGCATTAATACACACTGTATAAATGGAATTTGAAGTGACTGCCATCATGGCGGACGCTACAGCGGGTAGTAAGTCTGCGGAGGATTTTCTGGATTTGACTAAAGAGGAATGTGATATTAAATGCGAAGGTTGCATTAAATATAAAATTGAGTTAACGAAAGTTATTTCTGAATTAAAATCAGCAATGAAAGTTATTGAAATCCTGAAGGAAGACCAAAAAACTGATGTATTAATGGATAGATTAGTCACAAATGCACGTAGCCATGAAGAAGTTTTACAACTATCGCCAAGTGCTGAAAATTGGACGCATATACCTGTGCATTCACAAGAGATTGATTCTGTTAGCTCCAGTAAAATTACAGAAACAACAATAAGAACTACAAATAATTTTGGAGTCTTACATAACCTAGAAAAGGATCAGCCTAGGCAAATCGAGAAGAGTAAGATGAGAAGTCACAAATCTAATGTAACGAACCAAGATTCAACTGCAAAGGAACCTATTTCGTCAAGGATTAGTAGATACAAGAAAGCAGAAGTCCTGTTGCCAGAATTTTATATCCCTGTGATAGTGAATGGTTGTGTCCCTTGCAATACTTATTCAAAGTTTTCAGAAAACGATTTGTCTGCAGTTAAAAGTGGTGACAGTGATACTGACATGCAAATTTGAAACAAAAACGCAAATCTAGTGCAGAATCTTTTAGTTGATAAGACTAAACATTTAATTTTATTCATTGGTGATAGCCATATTAGAGACTTTGTAGATAAGATCAAAGACAACTTAACTAAAACGTCCAGAGTAATAGGATTTGTCAAGCCAGGAGCTGACATAAGTAATGTGACATGTTGAGCTATGGATGACGCCCCTTCTCCCCCTCCCCCCGCCAGCCGTGAAGCGCCGAGCGAAGCCGAAGTGAGCCGAAGATAGCCGAGTCCTAGCATCCTGGTCGCTATGCAACGCGAGTCAACAGCGATGACGTCACCAAGGGTACTGCGGGTCAACAGGATTGCGGGAGACGACGGTAGTAACAGCGGTTACTGCCGCTAGCGTTGCTAGCAACACAGCGCCAGGCAACAAGGCTGCTTATTACGTGGCCGTTTTCTGTATTGTCCGATCGAGGCTACATGAGGAGCAGCGAAGGCTATTCAGAGTTACTCCTGGAGCTACCTCCGAGTTAGTTCCGAGCAAGCCTACTAGCCAGCGGCGTGTCACAAGTGAAAGTGTGTAATTCAGGGAGATTTGTATAGCTCCCGCGTTATTAGTACGTGAAGACTACTGAAGATAGTGTGAAGAGATTTTGTTGTAGGGTTTGTAAACTGTGGAAACCCGTAACATTGTTATAAGTAATTGTAGCCGTTATTTGTAGATTATTAAATAAACCAATTAACCATCTCTACGGCGTCTTAAGTAACAAAACACGTTACAGTAACTTATCTCCCACGGCAGAGGCTATGGTTGAATCCTTGACACTTAATGATGTAATAGTTTTTTCAGGTGGCACTAAAGAAATAGGAAAAAATGATTCCAGAGAAGCATTAAGAAATATATTGAATTTTATCAAAACTAATTCTCATACAAATATTGTTCTGTTGAATATTCCACATAGGTACGACCTGGAAAACTGGTCGTGTGTGAATGATGAGATAAAAGTTTTTAATAGGAAATTAGTGAAATGTACCAAAGGTTTTAAGCATGTTATTTTATTACACCATGATTTAAATAGAGCTCTCTTTACAAGGCACGGACTCCATCTTAATAAAATGGGGAAGAACGTACTGGTTAGGAATACTGCCATAATTTCTACTAAAATCTTTTAGAGATGCAAAACCAATCTATTTGCCTTGGAAGGCAATCAGTAATGACCATGATAATGAGACTAAGATTTTTTTTTTGGCATAAAAGATTTTACTGTTGATAATGTTATGTTAGAAATAAGTAAACCGCAAACTCTCGAGCCACAACATAAATCATATAGGCAAAGAAAATTTCCACTAGATGGATATGATGATTTTTTATGGTAGAAGAAAAACAGTGTAACAACCATACTTTAGTCTTAAAGAAAAATGGCTTCTCAATTTATCACCAAAACATTTGTGGCCTTCCAAATAAGACTAGTGAAATTTATGCCCATCTATATCCTGAACTTCCGCAAGTGCTTTGTTTCACAGAACATCATCTAAATTATTCACAAATTGAAAATGTGACCATAGCCAATTACAACTTAGGAACTAGTTATTGTAGAAAGTCTTTTATTAAGGGAGGTGTATGTATGTATATATTTACACAACACTCTGGATTACATACCTGTCAGCATTAATGAACTATGTATAGACAAAGCCATGGAGGTGTGCGCTGTTAAATGTAAATTATATCTATATCCTGAACTTCTGCAAGTGCTTTGTTTCACAGAACATCATCTATATTATTCACAAATTGAAAATGTGACCATAGCCAATTACAACTTAGGAACTAGTTATTGTAGAAAGTCTTTTATTAAGGGAGGTGTATGTATGTATATATTTACACAACACTCTGGATTACGTACCTGACAGCATTAATGAACTATGTATAGACAAAGCCATGGAGGTGTGCACTGTTAAATGTAAATTTTTATCTAGTACATTTTGTATTCTAGACTTTTATAGGTCCCCGTATTGTAATTTTTCATTATTCATTACCCAGTTAGAAGCTGTCATCAACAAAATTTATAAACCAAATTTATTGATAGTCTGTGGTGACTTCAATATAAATTATCTAGAAGATAATAAAATGAAGCAACAATTAAACTACATACTGCAGTCTTTTAACTTAAGTAGCGTGGTTTACTTTCCAACCAGGACTTGCACCACTACTCAAATATTTATTGATATCTTTATAGATATAACTAAGTTTGAAAACTATTTGATCTCTCCAGTATTTAATGGTCTATCTGATCATGATGGGAAACTTTTGTTTGTACATCAAAAAGAGATCAGTAGGGAAAGGACAAACCTTAATTTAAAAATTATCCGGACATTTAACAACTGTTCACTAGATGATTTCAAACTAAGTTTAAGTTTTGAGACTTGGGAAACCGTATTTAATGCTGTGGACAATAATATAGATAGTGTGTTTAATAATTTTGTAGATGTATATTTGCAGATATTTAATGCTTCTTTCCCAAAAAGAAAATTT